CGGGTTCAGTGATGCCTTTTTAACAGACTGTTTAATATCAGTGATGAGTTTGACTTCTTCTCATTTGACTGATATTTATCATTGCTGTTATTATATTCAGTCTATGTTCAGATATATCAATATCAGATTTCTTTTAAAATCAGTGATTTGTTTCATTAAATCTATCAGATGAGAGAGTTTGAAGAGATCTAGTAGAACAGAATTCATGACAATATTCATTTTCAGAATCTTAATAGAACTCTGATAAATTTATGATATAAATAGAAATATAGTGATTTGATTCTTAATATCAAATTAATATAGATTGTTACTGATTGTAACTCTTATTAATATATTTCTTTTCAGTAATTCAATCTCATCTCTTTATTTTATCAAGACTGCTTATTCACTTTATTCATATCTTTTCAACTATGCAACTTTTTTCTACAAATCATATCAGAAAGCAAAATGTTATATCTGTTTAATTAAAATCTAAAACACTATCTACTATCTATCTCTAGACAAGAATCTGGGAATGATTAATTGAAATTTCAACATCAGAGTCTCTCTTTTCTGAAAACTGTAAATGAAGATTTTACTGACAGTGATTCAGATAATAATACTTTCAGTAAAGAAGTATTACTATTCTCAGTAAGTTTATCACTTTTGATATCTCTATTATTATAAAAACTAACATTCTCTAAAGATAGAGTCATATAATAAGAATGATGCTGATAATATTAAGTATGATAAGTGACTTTTGAAAGCAGCTGCTGAGAAGAATATTTCTGAAAATAATGATCAAGAGAATTCTGATGAGTCAGTTACTAATAATATTAAAATACTAGCTGCTGATACAATTGCTGTTACTATTACTAATCAATTTATTAATTCTGATTCAGTAATTAATATATCTTATAAACATAGTAACTTTGAAATGAATTTATTTATTCTGATAATGAGACTTTGAGCTGAAGAGTCAGATATTTTCTGAAAAAACTACAAATTACTACTACAAATTCTGTGTTTATTAAAGAATATATCACTGATAAGTCTGCTCTCTGAAGGTCTATCAACTCTGAAAAAGCAATACAGAGCATAATTTCTGATTTTATCAGTTAAGAAAATCTTAATTTCAATAGTGTTATTAATATAAATATCAACTCTGAGTTCTGCTCAGAAAAATCTCACTGAATTCTTTCTGAGATTACTCTACTTTTAAAATCTGATTCTCTTTATATCTGCTCTTCTCAAATCCTCAACTTTTCAGTGATAAATGTATATAGAAATAGCAGAAATTATCAACAATCTCACAGAGTTATAACAATCTCACAGTTGAGAGAGCTCAGTCAAATATTATTCTAATAACTTTGTATAATATTCATTAAATAAACCTATTTTTCCTTTCAATTTTATTTGATATCAGTGTGGAAATCTTGAATACTTTTATAAATCAGAGTTGAATAATATATCTCACATTGAAAGAGTGTATTTTATCAGATATAATCACTGAGATTCAGATATAAGATCTTATATAATAGTTCTGAAAGTTTAAGAAGCTATTCACTATACTTCACAGACTGTACAAAGATTATCATTCTTAAATTCATTATTTAGTCTCTTTGAAATAATTACAATGAAGAATGAGATGAAATATATCTCAATTATTCAAGGTCCCAATGAACTTAATATTTACATAAATACAGTATTTGAATCAGATTCTAATCTATTAGTATATAAGAGTCAAGATCAGTATTTTCTTCACTAAGTTATAAGAATCAAAACTGAACTTATTGAGATATGACTATATTACAAATCTTTACTAATTCAGACTGAGTTGAAAATTGCAGTATATAATTAAGATCTTTTGAAAAGTATATTTTATTCTGATATACAAGTTATTTCTCTATCATATCAATTATTTATTAATGAATTTGATTTATATCAGAACATGTACTAAAACTTGATGAGTTTTTATATAATTTCTACACTAAGTGCTGTTAAGTGTTTAAAGTGAAATAATATTTTTACTCTAATCTTTGATTCTTATAATATCAATTTTCTCAATACTGTTACTGTATTATTGTATAACTTATCTACATTAAATTGTAAAAGAGTTATGATGAATATCAGTGAAGAAAAGATAAGAATTATTATATCTTATATTATATTTCTTAGAAATATGCTGCAGTAAAATAGTAATACAGAAATTAAAGAAGTAACTGTAAGAAGATCATGTTAAACTGCTTTATTAATAATAAAAATCAGCTGAATCTGAACTATTATCTACATAATAATAACTGATTTTATCATCATATATAATATCTTCAGTCTAAACTGAATAATCTACTGAATCTCATATATAGAGAGTAAATATATCAAGAGTAGAGTATAACAGCTAGACTGACTGTGTGACTGTATCTGAGACCAGAATTAGATTTTTTAACAGTCTCATTATCAATTCAACTGATTTCATTACACAGTTTTAACATTAGATAGTAGTTTCATACTGTCTCAGTGAGACTTACTGTCTACTCTTATTATATTTTTCAAATAAGATCATGATTTTCACTTCTCAATTTAAATTATTTTTATTGCTTTAAATGACTTTAAATCTTATTTGAGTATTATCAAAAAGTGTTACTTTTAAAAAAATTAACAATAGTCTAAAAAAAACCTTAAAATGTCTAAAAATAGTAACTTTATGCCAAGAATGAAACTAAATGAGATCAAATGAATCACTTTCTCATTTTTTTCAAGTCATGATTTCATTTTAAGATCTGATATATAGTCACTTTACATGTTTTTTTAATGACTAGTATCAGTGAAATTCATGCTAAGAAATGTATGAGATCAGATCGAATGAGATCAAACATGAAATTCATGATCTCAGCGGTCAGTCTAATAACAGCACAGATAGTATCTCTTTTTCAAATATATTTAAGTTTGAATTTAATCTTCTTTTTTTCTTCTAATTTATATTATAGTGAGTTCACTGAAATATTAAAAATTTCATACTTATTACTAATCTGCTCTATCTTATTACTATATAATTAGCTAGAATACTTTTAAATATTACAGATATTCTCTTTTTCTTATAATTGAAATTGTTTACAGTCACTGATTACTTATCTCAAGAAATATTAACTTCAGAAGTATATTTAAGTCTTAATTATTATATCTCTTATCTTACAGTGTATGCTCAGAGAGAAATGACTTAGTTTAGTAATTTAGTAAATTATTTCAATAACATTTTCAGCAGTAAATTAATCACTCATTAATCTTATTATTTAAATATATATAGTTATTATAAGAAGTAATAGTCTATTAATATCTTAATTACTGAGAGAAAATAATTCTGAAGTAACTTATTAAATTATACTAAGAGCTTATTAATAACTATAATTTTTTATTAAAGTAGTAGTCAGAGTAGTAGTAATATTTAAGTTATTTCAAGCTAATTCAGTTATTAATTATCAGTTATTTTCTGCTTTAACTATAAGTACTGTTATTATACATATCAGTAATTATACAAAAAAAGCAAAGCTTATATAATATATAAAGAGATAGCTGAATATGTATATTAATTTATACTATATTAAGTAGATTAAAGAATATACAGTATTTAATAACTGTAATATTCTAATAGAAGAGAATAACTATTAAGACTTTAAAAATCTAGTGTAGTGAATAAATTATTAAGATATAAAAAAGATATTACTTTTACAGAAGAGTGTTCACTGAACTTTATAACTAATATTAAGAGATTTCTTTAACAGCTCTGATATATATCTAATACAGAAGATTCAAGATTTATATACAGTTTATTCAGCACTATTCAATAATCTGTTAAGAATAAATAAAGAAATTAAAGATAAGAATGATAATTCACTGAACTACTCTATTAAGTTAAAGTTAATAATAGATTATATTACTTCAAAGATTTTTAATTATCTATTATTAAGTAAGATATCAGAGAAAATTAGTATATAATTTATAAATCTCTTTAAGCTTGAATTACTTCATTTATTTCTTAATAAGCTATAAGAATTCTATAACACTGATTAAAATAAGTTCTCAGTTTTAAAATTAAATTATTATTCAATACTTTTCTATAATAAGTTAATATTCTCAGTTTAATATATCTATTCAATTAATCAATTAATTAATTAATTAATCAGTTATTAACTTATTAATATATAAACTAGAGATTATATTCACTGAATCTCTCTTATAAAAGAGAATATTATTTAATATTAAGAGACAGAGCTTAGCTGAATTATAATTATATTTATTTATAAAATAAGAGAAGTTAAGTAAATTTTCTTTATACTTATTTCTCTATATTACATTATACATGATTATCTACTGAATCTGCTGATTTTATAAGAGAATTCTGATAATTACACTATTATTAAACTATCAGTAGTTTGAAAGATAGTATTATATAATATTCTGATACAGAATAGTAATAAAAATAATAATTATTTAATATATAAGTCTCAGATAATAAGATATTTATATTATAATTAAAATATCTTATTTCTTTAAATAGAATAGATAGTTAATGAATAGTAGCTGTTATACTGAGTAATAGATAACTAACTAGCTTAATAGTATTAATTTCACTGATAGAATAGTATACAGTATTTTATATTATCTTAGTAGTATTCTGATAATAATATCTGTCAATTACACAGTTACTGAGTAGTATTATGATAATATTAGAAAGTTCTACACTGTCTCAACACCATCTTGACATTTAATATTCAGCAATGTGTCACTGAATAAATGATGGAACATGTGTTACAATCAGCGACACGTGACACGGGTGGAATGGTGGATCCACAGTGTAATCAACCGTAAATTAACCCTACGTTCTTCTCATATGGAGAATTTACCACTCACCACTCAGCATCCGGAAATTCTAATTTTCCGGATGCACTATTTCTTCTTTGGCGCAAAGCATGATTTATATCAACCACGAACAAACGACGCATGTACAACAGAAAATCAAACAGGGCCTTGCATCTGATAGAGAAGAGTAAATACAGGCTGTCAACATATTTCAAACCATAATCATCATCTGATAACCTTGAACATGTGCAGTTGGGTTTTGTGGAATCAATTTCCTAAAATTCTCACTCAAGCTCTGCACAAGAAGGGAGCTGAACAGAAGGAGAAAGTGTGAAGCAAGTGCCTTTTTCAGTCAGCTGCTGCAACTGTTCCAGCTCCACTTCCATCCTATTCAGTCTTGAATCCATTTCCTTAACTTCCCGCTGAAGTTGAGTAATTTCAGCATGGAGAGATTCACTACAATCTTGCTTCAGATGACAGCAGAGATGCAGCTTGAGATTTTTCTTTCTGATAAATCCTTCACCTGAGTTGTGATTACAATCTGAATAACAACACATCCACTTTTTCTTCTTGCTGTTCATTTGATGAATATCATATTGATGACAGTGCAGGCCACCTAAGGAGGTAAACCCTAGTCCCTTGTTACAAGCTGGGTTTGTGCACTTATATGAATGATCATGTTTATCCATGTGCTTGCTGTTAAAAGATAGTTAACACATAGATTTCTAAAGACATAGGAACTGTAGCACAAAGGAGGCGGTACATACTTCCACTCATTGAGTCTCTTGAAGTATGGGATATTCTCATGGCAATCTGGGTGATCACAGTATATCTGGTCGGCGGCATTTTTGAATGGCTCACTTGTTCGCCTTGCAGCTAGCATGACTGGCAGCATTTTGATTTCTTTGGGGATGAGAATATCTGTCGTGGTCTCTGGGCTTTCACTTATTTGAGAACTTGGATATAACAGCTCTTGTTCAAACCCAATTTCTCTTTGTTCTTTGTGACTGAAGAAATATTTTGATCAACAAGACAGGTAATCACACTGCGACTATTGCGATCATCCAGAGGACAACCCAGAAGGCAATGTGAAGCAAGATAAAAGGAAGGGTAAAAACTAGAAACCAGCTTAAAAGTCTTTTGGAACGGGGGCCGAGGAGATGATTGAGATTGGTTGCTTGTTTTGGATTCTGTGATTCCATACCAGCTAGCGTTGTTTCCGACGTACAGAATAAGAGATGGGAGAAGAGTGGGTGCAAAGCCTCTATTTATGGAGCCTAGCAAGAGACACAGCAGTGTCCAGGGGGCAAGCCAGCCTTACCTTGATCACACTGCTTCCTGTCCGGGGAACTCAGACTTAAATTTGGCTCCCGGGATTTGCTAGCACAGAGACCATGGACAAACAGCCTGGAACCCATCATCGCTATCTGGTATGATACTCTTCGCTTCGCCCAACTGGAACCAATATTTGCATGGCCTTTGATACCCAATAAACCACGAAGCTACAGGAGGGCTGAGTGCATTATGTACAGTACCAATCATTTACATGCGCCAGGAGCATTTTCACCAAGCAACGACTTAATAGTCTGCCACAGGATTTTGTCTATGCGCATCAATATATCATACAAATTTAAACTGTGTTAACTGTTTGCCCCTCAATCATTCTTCACTACAAATGTTCTATGTTGGCATCCTCAGGTTCCATTTCATAGCAAATTAAAGTCACCAACCACCAACGAATATCGCACAAAAAACAACGCAAAACTCCTTTCTCAAACATCACTTTTCCCACTGCCGTAGCCAATTCTGCGCTAATAACATACTGATGTTTGCATTTAATTCAGATGTCTCCGTTTCCCAATGGTTCCTCAAGAAGATAGCCCCGCGTCAGTGAAGGTGCTGAATATCTTCGAATGTAACAGCAGAAAGAAGAGGAAGGTTGTTCACATCACAAGATGCGAACCTAAGAAGAAAACCCCTATCCTGGGGGGAGATTCCGGACAGAGTGGCTTCGATAGTGCCTGTATCTTCAGCCGCGGGTAGGACACTTTCTCCAACATGATAGATTCTATAGGAGCCTAAAAACCGGCGATAGATCATTTCCGTCCAATAATGCTTGCCTATGTCGTCCTTGGTTTTCATCATGTTCAGTTCTTGGTCCAGAGCCTCTCGAATCCTCTGAATTGCTGCAGCGAAGGGTTGATTATGCGAGATACTAGCATTGAGAAGATCATGGTAGATAGCACCAGGAGATTGGTATTTATTTAAGGTGCGTGTATGTCTGCCAGGCACTGACACTGCGTCAAGGATCTCATTACTTGTAATTCGGACTTTAGGTCTCGGGTTGTCATTTTCCCAAATTATCTCAATCCCGTCATCGGCCGCGGAGCATATTAAGAGACTATCTGAGAGGTGCTTCTCTGCCTCCTCCGTGGTAATACCCTCAGCGTATAACGGTGATTTGTTGAGGTCGAGAGTAAAGTCAGCCATGCTGTAGTGAATTGAGGAATTCTGTAGACGTAGGTTCTTGATATCCGTGAGCGGATGACGAATAGCAAAGACTCCAACACTGGCGCAAAGTAGTATGACATTTCCCATTGATGTGAAGTCTGGGTTTAAGGCTTTATTCTGTGATTTCCTCAAAAGCCTGTTCTGCAGTGACTCATGCTGTGTCTTCAGTATCTCAGTGGACAAGTCCAAGTGATCGAATTGCTTGAACTCATCGAGGCAGTAGCAGAGTTGAGCATAATCATTGATATCAAGCTCGCGGGACCGGGACCATATCAATTCCCAATCACTCTTTGTTCAAGACATAACTTCTGCTAGCTTTCCGCGAAGTGATCTAACCTTTGGGGGGTCGACTCCAAGAAGAGTCACACACAAAGAAAGAAGCCTTCTAAAAGCATTCAGGCACTCCCTTTCATGCGTCCCAGCCTCGGCTGTACAGTGGGTAGGGGTATTAGGAGGTGGTTTGGGGGGTGTAGTTGCCATTGCGGTACCTGATAGATTGTTATTGTGAGCAAACCCCGATATGTGCATTGTGGTATGTAAGGTATTCCTTACCTGTCTTCTAGTGATAGTTTATAAAGCTGACAACTATATGCACATGCCTCGGAAATGGAAGAACTTCGGTAGTAGCAAGATTCTGGTTGAACAATCCAGGGCAGACATGCTGGGGCAATCAAGCATTCTTATACCAATCTGCCCAACTCTTACTACAGGGCTTACAAGGAAAACAAAATCAAAAATCAAAAATCAAAAACACTGCCAAGGTGGATCCGATACTGGGTATCAGAAACTGGAAATTAGGAACCTTAGCATAACCAGCCCATCACCGGAGATTGGGGATCGCTTTGAATAAGGGATTTTTATTTACAAACTTAAAAACATTGATTCGCGCTATGGACATGGCAAAATATATCACTTTAGGTCTTCTTCCAGTTGCTCCTTGTTTTCTTCACAAACAGCATGTAAACCACGCATCTGTATCTGAAGGTGCTCCAGGCCTCGACGAAGCTGATCACCTTCCGATGCATTACATAACGAATACGTAAGCTTGATCTGCTGTATATGTCCGTAGTCTTCCCAGAAGGCGGTTGTATGCCAAGTCCACTCTTTCAATTCGCAATCTTCCGCTATTCGCACAGCTAATGATGTAAAACTAGCCACCTTTTCAAACAATGAAGAAAGCTCGCAGAATGCTGCGGAAAAGTCTTGGAGATATTTTCGAATGTCATCAGATGCCTTGGAATCTTCTAGGTGCTGAAGAGGCTCTCTTAGTTTGGCAATGCTTTTCTCTATATCCTGTCTCGTTTGGAGCAACTCGTCGTAGAAAGATTCCTAATTAAGATAAGTATTAAGAACCAATAAAATTTACGAACGCGCTTAACTTACCATGATGAGAGAGAAACTTGAAGACGAAAATAGGCCTCCGTGAACGCCTTGATACTCTTCTTCGTGGTCTTGTGAGGCTCTCCGTTGCTTTCAAATTGTATTTTGCTATATGAAGAGAAAAAATAGTAAAATGTTGCAAGGTGACCTGCATTCGGACATGGTCATTCTTATAGCAGCAATATATTACAACCCGGAGTCCGGTCCAGATCCCAGCAGCAAAGACAAGTGCCATGTAATTGAAAAGCGAAAAATAGAAAATCTCCAACGTCTCAGGGATACTGGAACTGTACAAAAAGAACAGCCACTCCCCAATAGAACCCATGGACCTTGCGTAGCCTGGTTGTGCATTAGTATGTGCTACTAGCGGATATTTAGTATCCGATGTTCCGCACCGCCCAGCTGTGGCCTGGTCCCCTACTCTCCCGGCACGACACTCGACATGTGCTGAGAACTAAAAAGGGGTAAGTTTAATTAGGAGTTGCATTAGGCCGGAATCTGAATGAAGGGCTAATGCTGTGTTTACTTACCATAAAAAAATATCAGTGCAACCTAGAGCCTAACTGGTACGATTGAAGAGCAGCTTTCCCGTCACTACAAGCAATCAATTCATCATATCCCAGGTCCCGCCGATAGTCCCCCTCACATAATACAGTAAACTTCCCTGTTCTCAAGCTCAGCCGGTCTGGATAGTAAATTGAGGTCATCACCTTTATTTTCTGGAAGTTACTGTTAGATCATCACAGCAGAAACAGGAGAGGGTGTCACACTACAGGCAAATGTGCTGATTCAGGGCGAGTTGTCCGAATCTCATCTAGTTGTGTATAGTTTTCCCCGGTCATCGATGTGGCGCCGGTGCCAAAACCCACCAGGTTCTTTATCATCGCTATGGATCTGTCAAGACTTGGAGCGAAAGGGAAGCAACCCATGACTAGAGCAATGCAATTGACTTGGTGGATGCAATGCTATGGCAAAGGAATAATATATCAACGAAATTTGTGCTGCGGGAGCAAATTTTCCTCCTTGCGCGTAAGGCAATATCTTCGTGCAAGCCAACATGGATGACAAGCCCGTACTCGAACAAGGCAATGAGCGAGCGGTGAAGCATCTCTTATAGCCAAAACCAGTGAGGTTTGGCCATTTCGCATGCAGCATGTCGTTGTCGATGTATCAATCAAGAGGACCTTCTCATTCTGGCAAAGGTGCCAATAGCATACGACAGCGGAGGAGCAATGGGGCAAAGATCAAAATTGCGAGATACAATCCATGGAGCCGTTATTTGGCGCTCAATATCACCTTAATCGACAATCTAGGTCATCGTAGGTTGGCTCCTCAGTACCCATAGTCACTCCCACCCTGCTTGGTGTCTAGCGCGGTGTTACGGGTGGGCAATGAAACAGGAGAATCGATTGATATTGGTTAACATAGGAATTGCAAATAGCTAAAGCTAATTATCAATCACCTCGCCATGTGTATATCGCACTCGCCTTCGTGCTCTCGACAGAGTCTGGCACCCCTGGCAGCCTTGCATACTCCTGGTCGTTGGTATTTACTGTGGCAGCCGCCATCCCGCATGTACTGCAATAGCCTGCGGGATGAGCTCGACAGCAGCGTGGACCAGGCTGTGAAATCCAATGCTGTCCGCATTGGAAGAGTAGCTGTCGTCGACGTATCAACTAGGAGGACCTTCCAATTCTGGCAAAGAGGAGGCATAGCAGTGGAAGTTCGTCCAAGGGAAGCGATCTTGGCGCTATTGTCGTTTCTCTCAATTCGAATCGAGACATCATCGGAAATGCACCATAGGCGCAGCAGGGCAGTGATCTCCGTGGGAAGCTAGAGGCAGGTATGGCTGGTGGTTGAGAACTCAGAAGGAAAGCAGCGGGTTTCACTCCTGGTTGGGGCGCTGATCAAAGAGAGCTAGCGAACAGCAGTGCCTTTGCATGCACTACTGAAATCATCACATCCCTGTTCGTGCAGGGGGAACCCATGGAGCCTAGCGCACTATCCATTGAAGCTCGGATTTTCGCTGTGGCCTTGATTGGCAGCCTAGACCATAGGAGTGTGTTTTGTTGAGCGGGGTAGCAAGGGGCCAGTGCAGCTTATAGTTTTTTCTGGGTAGAGAAAAAAAAGGAGTTATGCATCCCTGTAAAGCTCCACATCAGTTTATTGGCCAGTAGTCACATGATAATCCGGTGCAATTGCACCAGATTATCATGTGACTGCTCTGGTATCTTCACAATCTTCTTGAGATCATCTTCTGTTTAATTCTCACATCACTCGTTTTAGCAAAATGAGCTCTTCGGCTGTATTAAAAATATTGCCAGAGCTGTCTCCGTTAGCAATCCTTTCCTCAGAGGTACCTAATATATTTCTTTTCTTTCCTTTTTTCTTAATTAACCTAATGTCATGTTGATACTGATTTAAAATCTAGATTTTATTACGTGAATTCCATCAGTTCTTACTTCGAGGGACTCCAGAGCAGTGTTGGAAGCTTATTCCCCCGCAGTATAGAGATCAATCGCAATATCTACAGCATGTCTTGCCCACCCCTACCCGTCCTGTATCACCGCATCAATCTTTCCCGCGATTACCTCCTATCCTCTCCCCTACATACCCGCACTCGCTGCCAGCTTCTCTCAATTCCTCAAACACATCCTATGACCTCGCAGTGCAGAAAGATAATGGACGATTCACACCAATTTGCCCCCGTCCTAGCGTTTCTTCCGCTTCCTCTTCTGCTGCCTCGTCCACGATTGCTTCCACTCATCATGACCACCCAACGCACAGCGCCCACCATTCCGTCGAGGCCGGACCATCCAAGAAGCGAAAAAGAATTGAAGCAAACATTGACGTGGATCAGCGGAAGAAATCACCAGATGATGCATTGGCCAAATTAAAAAAAGTACAAAATTCATTCCAATGTGCACCTTTGGCAATAATATCCTGCAGTGAGGTTTGGGAAAAAAGCGGCAGTCTTGTCAATCTATGCCTTCGAACACCAGCGGCTCGCTTATATGAAATTATCAGGGAAACAGCGACAAGGCAAAATGATTACACTTATACAGAGCGTATTTCCCTAGTCTACGCAGTTCACGAAGTGGAAATTAAGGCTTCATTAGTCCCTAGTAATGGACGCAAATTCCTCTCTAGGGCATATTCTCTACTTGCACAGGAATGGGGTTGCACGGACGCGGAAGTAAAGCAAATTGCTAAACAGGGCAGACGCTACCTTGGATTGATGGAAAAGTGTGGCCCAGCTATTATATTTCAGTTAGATAAGTCAGCTTCTTCTCAGTGAGTTGATCGCTTCTCTTACTCACCCCAGTTAACTTCAACCTATTGATAATATGTAGTTGCTCTAATCATATGACGGACGAACAGCAAGAGCTGTTCGCTAAGTGGGTTCAAGATCAACAGCCTGAGGAGAAGGCAACCGAAAATTGCAATTTGGCAGCAGCGATAATACTCGATGGATTAACATGCTATGGAAAGGGTGAATATACCTATCACCTTCTCAGAGATGCGCAAAGCTCTGTGTTAAACATAGTGAGAAAATATTTGAGTTGGGACGACGATGGTACTCTTTTCATAAATGACAGCCGGTCCTCTCCCTCAATAAGTCATACAACCACCTGCGCCATTAGCCCTGACGCTTCGAACCCAACAAACAATGCTGGCGCTGAGAATGCAACCAACTACACAAATACCTTGGCATCGAACTGTGTTAACAAGGCTTTAGACCCTACGACAAATATGAATGCTGACTTTGCAAACGCGGATATATCATTTAACAATACACACACTGAGACTTTGGACCGAGCTAGCGAAACAGATGTTACTCTAATCCCACAACCAACAACCAACATAGATGTTGACTTCACGAATGCGGGGCTTTCAAACTGGAACAGGCCAACAACCAACATAGATGTCGACTTCACGAATGCAGGGCTTTCAAACTGGAACGGGCCAACAACCAACATAGATGTCGACTTCACGAATGCGGGGCTTTCAAACTGGAACGGGCCAACAACCAACATAGATGTCGACTTTTCAAATGCCGGGTATTCGATGTTGGACTTTGCCATTACACCGAACCTTGCGGCTCATATCAGCGAACCTGTACCCAGATCTATTGTTGTTCTCGCTCAAAAAATCCAACCCGAGCTGCAAGCCTGCCATTCCCCGACTCAATAGTGACGTTTATATCAGACTCCCCCATTATCAGGATTGAATGTGAACCGTCCCATGACAGTCTTTCAGACCGCTCCCTTTTGTTTTCGCTTTTTGATATAGATATGCTCGCCTCGCCAGTCGTAGCTATAGGGACAATCAACGCGGAATATATTGTGCCGAGTGTTGTACTGCCTTGAGTGAAAATAAGATCCATGTAGTGATGCGCAGTTCTTGAACAACCCGTGATCTGCTAAGTATATTAGATATGAACACACCTTTTAATATAATAAGAAACTAACTCTTTGATATTCTTGCGCGATTTCTGTTTTTAATGTGCTTTTTGAGCAGGGTGCAGAGATGGCAGCTTTATTACTCGGCAGTTGAGCAGAAATGAAATAATTATAAATCTCATCTCGTGCTTTCCTTCTTTCTTCTTCATAGGGCTCGGGAAATGGCTCCAACTTCCAGATAATTTGGTCGTCCGACATGTTATTTGAATGACTATAACTTGAAATCTGGGGGAAATCGGTGGCACGTCTTTGCCTTTGTGCAGAGGATTAAAGGGGAAAAAAAGAAAAGTCTTGAAGTTGGCGGGGTTTGTTGCTGACTCTTCTTCAATAGGGCGGGGCAACTCCGCCAAGTTTTTCCGACCGACCATTGGCGACCAGCAGCGCAAAATCAATTCTACATCATGCGTCTGATCTGAAAACTGGCATGGTTTAAAATGACTTTTATATCTTATGTTTTTTCATCTCCAGGTTGTTAGATATAGTGAGAAAATACATCAGTCAGGAAGATAATGATACTATCCACCCATCCAATCTTTCTAAAGGTAAGATTTCAACCCGATCTCTGTGTATAGAAAACACACACAGCACATCCCCGACAAGCTACTAACTTTTCACCACATTCCAGCAGTCCTGCTACTGAGTGCCACAATGATGATTCTTTGAAGCAAGTGTGTAATGCTTGGCAGTTAATCTTGGAGGATAACGTTGTTGTGTTGTAATCTAACTACGCGAGTTACACTAAATAGGTTGGGGTGGCACGTGACTAGGGTAGGTGTAGTAATCACCAACACCCCCCCTTGCTACACCGTGGCCTATAAGCCGCCACCCGAGGCCTCCCCCATCCTCAAATCTTTCAAAAATGCAATAATAATTAATTACATCAATCGGACCCTGATTTCCTCATTAGGAAAGGCGTCTGTACGGCAATAACTGTAAAAATCAAGAAATACATGCAAAATCCATTGATCCGCTGTATCATCATTACCATTCAATCATTCCTTCTTCTCAATTTCCTGAATGCTAACCCTCTTGACAAATTCTTCAAATGCAGGCTTTATCAGTGGCTTGGTGAGCCTGTCAGCTATATTCACTGTAGAACCAACATGTTCCATCATGATTTCCCCTTTTTCAATCAAATCACAGAGAATATGATATCTAATCTTGATGTGATGCGACCTTCACATTAAGAACTCCTCTTTTGCTAGATCAATTGCTCCCTTATTGTCAACTTGTAGATGTGAGCATATTTTCACTTTTCCATCATTCATCAATCCAGCATTATATAACATATCATTCAATCAGATTATCTCACAAGCTGTCTTGCTAGCTGCAATATATTCAGCTTCTGTGATTGATTTGATGATAGATGTCTGTCTCTGTGACTGTCATGAGATCAGTGACCTGTTAATCAATATAACATAGCCAGTAGTCAATTTGTATTGAGGATCTGCCCTCACTCAGTTCAAATCACAGTATGCCACAGAACTCAGGCTCACATCACCAATCTTCTTCCTGTATAATATACCATGGTTTTTCATCTTCTTGACATAATGTAGAACATGCTTCAACACTGCTCAACATGCCTTGTGCAGATGCAAGTTAAAACACAAGAGATAGTTGACTGTGAATGCCAGGTCTGACCAGCTGCTTGAGATCAAATACTGCAATGATTTCAATTCTTGATGATATCTTGTAGCTGTAAAGTCATCATTCAATCCCCCCCCCTCATCAGGTGAGAATTCCAGTCATATACCAGCCGCCATCGGGGTGCCAGCCGGATTTACCTTATTCATGCCGAAATCTTCAAGAATCTCCTCAATATAATGGCTCTGTGTAACTGCTAGATCACCATTTCTCTGGCATTTGATCTTCATCTCAAGATATGACTTGGTCTCTTTCAACATTCTTTATCTCAAATCTCTTTGTGATCTCTCTCAATACTCAGTCTAATTGCTGTTCTTGAGGTCCTGTCACCCGACAATCATCAACATGCAATGTCAGATAGATCTTGTGAACAGAGTGATATAGAAATTCACCATCATAAGATGATATCTTGAATCTCAATGTGATGAGGTGTTCCATTGCTAGGAAATACCATATTCTCACAGCTTGCTTCATTTTATATAGACTCTGGCAGAGTAATCTCATCAAGCCCTCTCTGTCATGCTTAACACCTGTGAACAGTTGTATATAGATCATCTCATTCTGTGGTAGTATATCATTCAAAAATGCGGATACATAGTCAATTGATTTGACCTTCCATTCTTTGGCAGTCAATATAGTAAATAGGCTGCGCGATGTAGGCCCTGATACCACTGCAGCATACAATCTCATATAATGAATACTCTGCTGTTGCAAGAACCCTCTAATCACTCAGTGAGCTCTAAAGTGAATGATTTCTCTCTTATTATTGAATTTCTGATCATATACTCATTTGTCTGTAAGAATATTCATTTCTGAGGCCTTCTCAATGACAATATATGTCTTCTTCTGTTCAAATATCTTAACCTTCTTTTTCATTGCTTCATGTCAATAGTCTCAGTCTGGGCTTCTCTTGACTTCTGCCAGTGTAGTTGATCAGTCTGTCAGGACACTTAGAACAGAATCATTCTCATTAATGAGATCTTCAGACTCTTTATTCATGACAAGCTGTGTCTTATTATCTAGAAGATAGATTGAATCAATTGCACTCTCTAAGTCCTCATTGACAATCATCTTCAAAACATCTGGCTTTTCCTTTGCTAGGTGTTGTAGTAAGCAGTGCTGTCATCCTTCTCTGGCATTCAGAATGTTCAATTCATTAGGCAATTCATTGAATTCCCTCACTGTATTTACAGGTGTATTTGCACCCATGTCAAGAGCTTCATTAAATATGACATCTCATGCAATCTCAAGACAACGTGCAACAGGATCCCACACATGATATTGATGTAATCCTTGGTATCCAACCAGCTGTCATTCCCTGCCGTCAGTCCTATTCACAAGCTTATTTGACACTTTCAAATTCTTCTTGTAGACCTTGCACTCTCATCTTCATATTCAATGGACAGAAGGTTGCACCTCAGTTCACACTTCAAAAGGTATAAGTGGTGTTCCTTTCTTGCATTCAAATATCTTCATTGATGTTGAGAATGTGTTGATCATCATGATCACAGCTTGTATTACTTCATCTCAAAGTTCTCTTTCTAATTCACTATCAAATAGTAGGCTTCATGTCTTTTCTGCAACTATTCAATTCGCGCGTTTCACTGAGCCATTCAATTGTAGTGTGTCAGGTGTAGTCATTTCATATGCTATTTCTTTGCTCTGACAGTAGGTCTTAAGTTCTTGACTTTTGAACTCTTCTCCATCATCCCAGTGTAGAGTTCTAACTTGATATTGTGTAGTTGTCTTAATACCTGTGATGAAGTTCATTAATCTTGCAGTAGATTCTTCCTTTCTCATCATAAGAATTGCTCACCTATAACAGGTTGCATTGTCTGTTATACTCAATCAGTAGCTTGCACCCCCTCTAGTGGGAGTGTCATTCCTGTTGAAAAGTGTTTTTCCACCCCCTGCCAGATCAATGAAGAATCTCATTGCCGGCTTGACAGCTCATGTCATAGGTGTGAAGGTTGAATGTGTCATTTTTGCCTGTACACAGGTCTTATAGAATGGCAAAGCTCTGTCACTCTTTATCCTCATTCCTAGTCATGAATCTGCTGCCATTTTTGTGATATCCGCGGGATTCAGATGTCCTAGCTTTTGATGCCATTGCATCATCATAAGTTCTATAACCTTTGTATCATTCCTTTCAGGTAGTGCTAATATTGTGTCATTACTCTTTGTCCACAGTGTATTCACAGGTTCAAAATCACTATTGGGCATAGTGAATTGGATCAAGTCTCTGTATGTGACTGGCCTTTCCATCTCATAGATATCATTCTCATTTAATCTTGCTGTAAATAAGAACATGCAGTCGGGAGACATAATCAACATAGCATGATTATTCTCATATGTCAACTGCTTATAGGTATAACCCTGACATACAAGCTTACTCATACTCATGAGGTTCACTTCTAACTTTGGGACATAGCAGATATCATTTAATAGCATATTCATCCCTTTCACTGGAATCTTCGTATCTTCTATAGCTGTAGCAGGGACCACCATTTCATCTGTCATTTTCAACATCACTTTCACCTTCTGAGGTTTTGCCACGACAAGATCTCTGTGGGGTGTGGCATGGGCGCCTGATTCAGAGTCTAGGATCCAGGTATCTTTTCCTGTCTGGTCACTCGCATAGGCCTTTTCTTTGATGCAAAATACTTGCTCCATGACATTGTGAACAGGAGCAGCATCTGTATTCTCTGCATCCTTGTCTTTATCCTTGTTTCTATTTATATTGGAGTTCAAAGAATGTTTCTCAGAGTATTTCTTTCAACAGTCAGTCTGAATATGATCAACCTTTTGACAATGATAGCAGGTCCTCACATCATTATCCCTACATTCAGATTTGAATTCAGTGTTCTTATCCTTGTCATTGTCTTTCTCTTTGTCCTTGCCTTTCTTATCCTTATCTTGTGTGTTGTTGATAGGATTTCTAGACACATCAGTATTTACTTCATTCACAGCAGAGAGCTGCAAAAGAATATCACAGCACAGGCTCATAAAATCATCCTCTAAGGGTTGAGTATTATCTTTGTCAATTTGATTCATTCAATTCCTTATGAATGAGGCTCAACCTCTGTT